TCCTTGCACGCATAACCGCGAAAACGAACACCAGTAAACTTGGGGCGAACCGACTTTGGGGCGAACTGGTCTGGGGCGAATGTGCATTGGGGCGAACTGACTGACACATATATCATTACTTTTATGTAATTTGCTCAGTGTCGTACATTTCGAACTTCATGTGTCATATTTTATCTAGGTCTCAGTGTTCTAGACTGTAAGCAAATAAAATTATAGAGAACCAAAGTAATGATTTCAATATTTGCGTTAGCTTCCTATTATTTCATGGGCTCTTCAGCTATCTCCATACAAGTCTGGAAACATTGCATTGATTTTGCTGCTATGGTCAGGTCAATGGGTGACCACAACACTGTTTGGTTGATAAATACATGTATAGTCATGCTGCTAAACCAGTGTTCGAAATTAACTGAAAATCATAACAGTCCCGAAGGACCTATGTCAAATTAAAACTGTAGGTCCTTCTAGCTAACTGTAGGCCCTGATATTTAACAAACAAAGACTAAACGGATAATACAAGCTTGCAATTGCAAAACCTTTATTTACTAATTAATCAGATGTATTATCTGCAGCCTCAAAGAGGTCATCGTCATTTCTTTCATCGTCACTAAACTCATCAAAATCTTCAGAAAAAAATACTGTCATGATCACTGGTCGACTCTGAATCTGACATGCATTTTGCATCGTGTTCACAATCATTGGCGTCAGCCTCATCTTCTACAAGGATCAATTCTGCTGCACGATCCTTGAGAAGGTCGGCAATACATCACCTTGCTGTTGTTATCAAAAAGTAACCAGTCTTTCAACTCCGCCTGCCAGCTAACTTGGAATGTGCGTGGTTTACGCCTGGACCGTTCGTATTCTTGCTGTTTGTCATGCCTTTCTTGTGTAGTTTTCACACGTTTAGCAGCAGGCTCCTGGCAGTTTAAATATTGCCACATACTTCGATGTAGACGTAACTCTGCAACTATTGATACCAGCGTGTTCAATGCAAATCAGCGTTCGCTGAACTGTGAGTCAGATCACGTGACCCGGCTGGGCTTTCAGCTTGCGCGTAGAGGCGGGGACCAGCCAACCTGCAGCGTCAATGTTGTTACAATTCCCACGTTCGGCGCATTTCGCGATCATTCGGCGAGCTTGAATTATGACTCTTATTCCCAGGTCGATGAGTGATGCCATTTGTTGATCAAATGTGCAAGAAAATGCAATTTTGAAACAATTCTGGAGTTACTATAGATATTTATTATATATTTGGTCTTACAATCATACTAAATAATGGAACATTTTTTTTAAATATAAATTTATCGTCGGCCACAAGGACTGATGGTTTTTCACAGCTCTAGGCCCTTTACACCCACTGTCGGCGTGATGCCGAAGGACCAACGTTAATTTCGAACACTGTGCTAAACTGTGTGGCTGTTCCTTTCTGCCCAACATTTTAATAAATTGACATGGTTAATGAGCAAAATCAAGGCAATGTTTCCAGGCTATTATGGAGAGGGCTGAAGGAACCACAAAATAATAGGAAGGTAACCAGGCTATGTAAGTTAGACCATGGTTAAAAGAAATGTTATTGAAGATGAAAGAAACAAATTTATCTGATAACTTCTAGCAACTGAATAACGAAGAGTTATTATGCTTCCTTCTGGGAGATACCATTCAAGGTTATAACAAAGAAATATGTTGCACCATGGACAAACTTATGAAAGAATTTTTAGTTGATGCCATGGATGTTAGAACAACATTTTTAAACTAATAAGTAGATTGTAATGTTATTTTTATTGTACTGATATTAATTTTGTTATATGTTATTTTTCTTGATCTATAACAGTGTTTCTTGTACTTATTTTAAGAAATGTATCTTTAATTTTGCAGCTCCTGTAAAAGTGAGCCCCTGCTTTAAAAGGGTAGCAACAAATAAATAAATAAAAAAGGGAAGCATGTCAAAAGACATTTAAAATAGTGTGCATTAATTTGCTGTGCAACAACCTCATTTTATTATAAAAGGATCCATCACAGTGTTTGAGTACTACTATATGTAAATATTGTTCATTTTGATAACGCCGTGAATCCAAGGCTAAGAATTTAAACTGAAATTTCTTTCTTTCTTCCCAGGCACGTCGGTATGATTCCAGAACTACGATCTTCTCTCCAGAAGGTACTACAATTTTATTGTCATTTTTGTAACATTAATTTGGAATAATCAATATCACATTAAGTTTTGAAATGATTATATCAAGGTTTGTTAATTTGTTTAGATATGATTCAATCTGTGCACTGTGTCTCTTGAAAAATATGAATTTGAATTAAAAAGTGAAAGTGAATTGATAATGCTTGATGTTTAAATAATAAGATTCAAGGTGTAGAAGATCGAGTTTAAAATATCACAGAAACTAGTATAACAGTTCAGCATAAGGATGAGGGTTTCGGAGCTACATGCTATCAGAAGATTGATTATGAAACATTATTTTGAAAGCAACAAATGTCATTGATGAAATCTGACTACTATACTACACTACTATAATTTTTATCACAACCTGATTTTATTCTCATTGTGATAACATGGTGAGCATTACAATATAAAATCATTAAATATAGATATATTGCAATGTATTCGGTGTAATTTTACTTGAATAATCAGAAAAATCAAAACCAAACTGATGATACATCTCAAGAATGAATTCTTGCTTTTTTACACTGACCTGATTTGTACAACTTTAAATGGCAATTAACGAGAACCCAACCATCAAACTAACAATGGGCAATTCAATGTTCAATTATAAATAGGTAATTATTCGCCATTTGGTCAGTATGAATGTACAATATTTGCTGCATTAGAAGTGCACATCAACCAAAAATTGTATTATATTCTGGATTATTAAAATATTCCTTTGTTTTACGATGTATTTCTAATACAGCAAATATGGTATATACGATAAATGCTGAAACATATAAATATAAATCATGATATTTGATAGTTGACTTTTCCCATTGCAGGTCGTCTATATCAAGTAGAATATGCAATGGAAGCTATAGGTCACGCTGGTACTTGTCTTGGTATTCTTGCATCAGATGGAGTCTTGTTAGCCGCAGAAAGAAGGAACATACATAAATTATTAGATGAAGTATTTTTCTCAGAAAAGATTTATAAGTTGACTGAGTAAGTTGAATTAGTACAGTGAGCTGCAGGAACATGAAGATGTTTCAAACATTTTATAAATATAAATGTTTATAAATCGAAATGGCTTTTTGACCAATCCAGAAATGATATTGTGATCATTGCAAGTTCTAATCAATATTAATGTGTTAGTTCAACATCATCTGATCATCCTGCTTAAATTGTGTATATACATCACCTAGTGAGGGATTCAAACCTACAACCTTCACTATACGGACTGATATGCTATCCACTGTAACAACCAGTCGACAATGGAGCATGCTTGGATATATGGGAAGTCATGTGACTCCCACGTTAAATTGTGGAATCTTTCAAGTAAACACATTGCTATATCATGCTCGCTACCATTGTGGGTGCTATTTATGTTATTCAAAGCACCAATTGTTTGTGACAGCTACCTAAAATGAATAGTTCTGTAACCTCACAATAGAGTAAAATTTACTATAGTAGTAAATTCTTGTGGGATTACTGGCTTCTTTTTCCTAGCACTTTAGCAGATAATCTATTATGTGTGGGTAGTTGTGTTCTATGAATCAAAACCTAAATTTTTAAAAAACATTTCAGTGACATGGCTTGTAGTGTAGCAGGTATCACATCAGATGCTAATGTTCTCACCAATGAACTTAGACTTATAGCACAGAGGTAAGTAATTATTTGTTAACAGTACATTTTATGTAGAGTTTTATACTAATTTAACCATTACAGGTTGCCAATGATGAAATGAACACCTGTAGTTTGTGTACAACTTTTATAGTTGTAGTATTTTCCTACACAGTGATTCAGCTGTTCACTGGCAATTTGCTGGTGTTTTTTTCAATTGTGCTAAATTTGTTCAATCATTTCAAACAAAGTGTTTTCTGTTAAATTTTACTGTTTTACACTCAAAATATGGCAAATAATTAGATATTTGCCATGACAGTAGTCGCCATTTTGTATAAAATATCCTTAGCTAATTTGAGACAACTAAATCTCTGTACAAACTGTAACTGAATTTATAACAGACAGTTGAACACAAACAAGGACTAATAATTTGCATTTTGTCCATCCGTCTCGTATCTTGGAAATGTTTCTTAGTTAAGTAAATAAGATACTGTGGTTTATTTGTAAAACTGACTTTCAATTTTCTGTAGATATCTTCTCCAGTATCAAGAATCAATTCCATGTGAGCAGCTGGTCAGTAGCTTGTGTGATATGAAACAAGCATACACCCAGTTTGGTGGTAAGTATATGAATTAGTAATTCAGAAATGTGTAATATTTATATATCATGAAGTAATATATTGTTGTGTGATGTAAACTTCCCTGTTCCATGATTGTGTCTCTATTTGAGCCGAATGACAGATTATATCAAACTTAATTCAAGTGCTGTATCACTGGTTTTAAATGAATATAAAAGTGTCCATCTTAAGCCATCATGTGTTGGTGGGTATGGGCTAATTCTTTATTGATGGTTTATTTATATATTTTTTTTCTATTTTCAGGTAAAAGGCCATTTGGTGTATCTCTACTGTACATGGGTTGGGATAAACATTATGGGTATCAGTTGTACCAGAGTGATCCTAGTGGTAACTATGGTGGCTGGAAAGCCACATGTATAGGAAACAACAGTGCTGTGAGTAGGACACACTATTTGAACAATTTAAATATTTAACAAACTCAAATTTTGGGTTCTTCAGTTGTTACCATGTATGCAATAGCATCAAATTCATGAACAGATTTTTAGGGGCAGATTTGGTAATCCATCATGACATATATTGTATGCCATTGAGAACCAACCACAGTTGTCATTCCTAATGTATGGATTTGCAAATTAATTGCTGTTGCTAATATTTTCTGTTACAGGCTGCAGTATCCATGTTAAAACAAGAATACAAAGAAGGCGAAATGAACATGAAAGAGTCTTTATCTTTAGCAATTAAAATATTGAATAAAACATTGGATTTAACTAAACTCACTTCAGAAAAAGGTGAGATACTTTTCATGTTTGCTCTACATTTTGTATTCAGGAATTATGCCTTGATTCCATTGAAATGCCTTGGAAGCAGTCCTAGTGATTGTTGTTAGTCCGCATTCAGTACATGGAGGCTGTGTAACTTCTCAATATAATTTTTGGATTAGAACAGGAACTCTGGCTTTCTTGATTTGTTTTCATTTATCATTTGTACACATACTGTAGACTGCGGTAATTTGCAAGAGAAATATTTTGTGACTTCTGTGAGATGACGACATTCATGGAATTTTGTAAACTTATTTCTGGAGAGCAGGCTTGAAATATTGGTGTCTATTCAGATTAACTGATTTGAATATGGCACCTTCCAGCAAGTAGACATTACCCATTCAACTATTGTCACCGAATAAACTTGACTAATTTTGTTCAAAAATGATGATAAAGACTTATAGACAATGTGCAAGTGTGTCTATTTGTTCTAAGCATAACAAAAATTATAGAAAGATAAATAAAAATGTTTTAACGGAAAAAATAATGGAATTCAAAAGGTTAATCAAATACCTGATTGGCTGTCATGTACCTGTGAATGCCATAATCTGATTGGCTGTCATGTTTTGTTTGTCAATACAGTTGAGATTGCTACTTTGACGAGAGATGGAGACAAGACTGTTATTAGAATTCTGGATGCTGCAGAAGTTGATCAAATTATAAAGAAAAATGAAGCAGAAGAAGCTAAAGCAGACGCTGCTAAGAAAGAGAAAGAAAAAGAAAGGGAAAAAGAAAAATCAAAATAATTGAATTCTAGAATTTTGTAGAATTTCTGACTAAGTTGTACTTCAAGTATGATGCATTTCTCCATTAATGTTATTTCTAGTGAATCATTTCTGTGAATCTTATCACACTCATTGTGAACATTACCAGATATGGAAATATATATCTATGCTACATATATATATATGCTACAACATGGAAACAAAATAGTAAAACACTTCTGGTTTAGTGCAAAATGCTCCATTATATTGAGACATTGCTTTATTTCATATTAATGTTTGTATTCATCTGTGATGTTTATCTGTTAAGGATCATCACTTGAATTATAATGGAATAAAATATATTTGCTGAGTTTTGCTTTTTTGTATCTCTCAAACTTTTTTTTTTTTTTTTTATAGTAGCAAAGATAATGACTAACAACAATTGACTTTACTCCCTGAAAGACTCAAAGAAGTAACATACACATAATACTTCATCTAGGCTTGATATAGATAGACTGTTTATAACACAATTCCCAAATATTTAATGTATTACACTTGCACAACTAATCAATTGCATGTATGGGAATCTGAATGAGAGTATAGATATTTCTGTCAGAGTACATCATCAAATCCACCATTTTGTTAAATTTCTAGTGAGGAAACGAGGTATTGTGAATACCAGAAATCCCTTATCTGTCAATTACTGAACACATGCCAGTGATGCTGCCTTAAGGGTGGGGTCAGCTGAATAGAATTGTGATGAAGAAACATCTTATTTGCATTCTTAGAATTACACTTTTTTTTTTCTAGGAGTTGATAAATGAATAGACAAGTTGAACACCAGTCAATATTACAAATCAAAATGATCATTTCTTAAAATGAAAAAAAATGTGTATAAGATCACCACAAATAATGTAATTGTATTTTGGACATTACTATTCATAATAGGGTGTTTGAAAGGTTTTCCCCACTGATAGTTCTTTAACTTGTAGATTATCAGCTGGGTATACCGGTAATTTAGACGCACATGTAAAATGACATAACTGTTATTTATGGTTGTCATCCTGCTCTGATTTGGGGTTGCCATGGACAACGTAAAAATGTAGATTCAAATGACAGGTTGTGAGTTGCTGTTAGGATGGTCTTTTGTTACACCTTGTATGAGTGATATCAGATTCACAGCTGTGATTGGTGAACTGGTTTAAAATGCCATTCTGAGTTACTAAATGTTTTTTTTTCAAAAAGACGTACTTCTAATAAAGCAATTACATTATCTGTGATATTATGAATCATAAACATTTTATATTATTTATAATGACAGTTAAATTTGGTTTGCATTGTCCATTTTCTGTTTGAAAATAAACCTGTACCTGAATATACCAGTAAATAAGGAGTGGGTTGGAGGATTAGAAGTATTACATTTTTATATTTTGTTTACCCTAAATTCCCCCCGACCTTTTCAAATGGATCGAGAAGGGTTATGCGCACCCATACCACTCCTAGCCCAATTTAATTGCGTATGTCCCTTCTAAGGACGCCTATAGTTATCTAGAGGGGGTATAGGGAAGAAGGCTTATTACTGAAACAAACGTACACTAGTACAAGTTCGTACTAAAACAAACACTCAATTCTGTCTCAAACCTCAAAATAAGCATAGCTCTAAACCTATTTGATAAATTGATAGCACCCATCATTAGCTATG